ACAAAGGCTCTTCATGGTTTCAAAAGCTGCAAGATTTGGGAGAGACAAGAGACAAATGGGTTTGTGAATGTAACAATGTGTATATATAGAAAGCAGGGAAGGGTGTTTTTAATGGGAATAGGCTCTAAGGAAAAGTGAAGCTTTTGTCTGTGAAGATAGAGAGAGGTCAGTCACAATTTATTATGGTAATACGTGTTTAAAAGTTGAATCTCGTACCGACTTGTTGCCTCATTAAAAGAAGAGATTGTTGCTTCTTCTTCGCATCTACCGACGTGTTTTGAAGTTAATTTATTCTTTTTGGGATTTGAAATTTACGTAAATTTATTGGAAGAAAGAAACATAGTAAGATTTACGAGCTTATCACGCGTTGCAGCTATTGACTGTACTAGTGAGAATCAATCGGATTCAACATTAATCTCGAGAAAAAATTAATGATCAATTTTGAGAACAACGAATCATATACCATTTTCCAAAGTCTTTAAATCTGCATCTGGTTCCAAAGTACACTTTTTTTTTTTTGTTCACTCCCAAACACACAAAGTTTTATCTATGGATGGATTATTGTGCCAAAAATTTACTCCCTCCGTTCAATAAAAGTTGATGTTTTGAATTTTTTTTTTGTTTCAAAAAAAATTGATGTTTTAGATTATTAAATGATACTTTCTGTAAATTTCAAAAAACATTAATTAAAAGTATTTCAATTATGAATTACTATTGGTTAATAGGTATTAAAAAATATTTAATATTAATAACTTACAATTAATTGTTTTTTAATCTGTTTTTTAATCTGTGTGAAAAAACTAAAACATCATTCTTATGGAACGGAGGAGGAAGTATTATTCCTGTGAAAAATATAGACCGCTTAAAGCACCTCTAATTTTGTTCTCCTTCTATGCTTTACAACACAAACAATTTTCCTTAATCGTTGAACAATATAAACTTTATGTCTCTTACTAATTTTTCAAATAAATCAATTTCTTTAATTCTATTTAATTTTGACTCAGAAAACAACAATCCGATTACACTTGAAATGACTTTTCCGCAATCTGATCATCTTTTCATTGTGATTCGAGAAAGATATATCATCTCTAACTTTCACAATCTCCACAGAATCCAAAACCATATCTTATACAACTGACATACTCCTCTCGTCCAACTAGCAAATGGGCATTGGAATATAATCGTTTTGTTTGAACCGGTCCGATTAATGCTATATAAAATCCAAGTCAGTATTATCTTTCATGTTTTCATCAATTCTACATCGAATCATAATATATTTAGACTAGTCCATTTTGTTCTCCTACGAATTTTCCACAAGAGAAGAAACTTGCAAACTCGGAAGAGTGGTAGTGTAGTAGATCCAATCATTCACATTTTGAATTTATGGGCTCAGGCTTAGGTATGGGCCCTGAATTTGATTTCTTAAGGGTAAAAAAAAGATCATAATCACTTTTCTTTACACTGATTTAGGACAAGATTCAGTCCTTCCTTGTTCCTTTGAGCCTTCGAGGACACGTAAGAAGCACACTGATGAGCCACCTGTTCTTCTCTTGACACTAACTCGATCCTCAAAGTACTTCCATCGGTTAGGTCTATATATACCTTACACAGGGGGGGGGGGGGGGAGAGAGAGACTCATACGTTGATCTCAAAGGGGAAAAAATGGCGGCTATGTTCTTAGCAAAGAGAGGAACCATAAACATATACAGAGCTTCTTTACACAGAGATTACAACAACACTGCTCGATCTGTTTCTGATGGAGTCATTACCATCACTAGCTCTCGTTACTTCGCATCCCACGTACGTTCTATTTTGCTTTCTTTGAATTCGTGGTAGCTAAAAGAAGTATAAGATAGATTTTGATGCATACGCTAGTAAATTAATTAAAGAACCATTGAGGTATGAATATTCTTGATTATTCCAAAACTCTTGTAGGGAGACAACGAATGCGAGAAGTCAAAGGAAGAGGGGATGGGAACAACTACAGATGGTAAGGCTCCGAATGTGACAATGAGCCATGCGGCGGATAAGGCCAAAGATGGATTGAAACGAGCAATCGATGAAGCCATCGAGGAGAGCGGAGATGCAAGCAAGCCGAAGAGTGTAGAGAATGATGAAGGAAGTGAAGAGAATGTAGCTGTTGGTGATGATGGAACTGTCAAAGGCCACAATCAGTCATCAGGATGAGAATATATAGATAGGTGGTTATGAGTTGTGACACGTGAATTTATGTACAAGTAGAAAGCAAGATGTAGTGAGAAATTGTACTTGTGTTGGGGTTTGAGAAAACAATTTTATCATTTACTTCCATGTAATATCTATATTCTCACTATTCATAAACTTCGCCTTATGATTTATTACAAAGAAACACTAAAGTAGATATGGATGTCTAACATTCACACTTGCTTAACCTACCCTCTAGTTGTTGTGTGTGTCTCTCTCTCTCTGAGTTTTAAGTTACCAAACGCTACATTTCTTGATTTCCAAAACTGCGGTGAATTTCATTCCAAAATTCAAAACCTCGTGGTCAGTCGATTTATCTTCCTCGAGATGGTTTCTTGGGTGGCGTGAGCTTCCTGAACCCAGCGTGGAATATCATAACTACAAAGAAACACAGAGAAGCATTAGAGCTCATCACCGGTCACCGGTCATATATAAGCTAAATCGGACTTGGCCATTAATTACATAGTTACCTGAATAACTGATCGCAAGAGCAGAGAAAAGAGCCATTTGAACATTCAAAAACGTCAGAAGAACAGCAGTTGCTGCATGTAGGAGAAGCAAGGAAACGAGTTAAGGTTTGTTCTACTCTATATAATCCATTTACAGTTTCAGTATCTTCAAGATTCTAAAACCTTCTTGCTATTTACCATGTATGATCCCATCGAAAACTTGACTATCAAAACATACTAGAGATCTCTTTAGACTACTGGAGTGAGTAACATACTCTTTGCCCGTTGCTCCCACGAGTAATATCAGTTCTAGTGATTCAACTAAACAAGTAAATCAAAGGCAATGTTCGATTCAAAAGATTCCCAAAACCTAAAAGCTTCTTCTTTCGAATCATATCAATCCGATTTCAGCATTATGCAATTAGAAACAAGTTGCACAACTACGAATGCCACAATGATATCTTCAATTACTCAAAGTGTGCACCGCAAACTAAACCAAATTCAAGAACAAAATGATCGAAAAACACTCACCGCACTGTCCAATACCAATCAAGAGTTTCCGAATGGAAGGGTGACGATCAAATTTCCATTTGTCACTGCAATATTTGAACAGCTCCCAAAGGGCTAAGCTTGCTAACAATCCTACAAGTGCAAGTGGCATTTGATACCTACAAGCACCAAAATGACAAGAACACTAGAAATAAACACTTCAATTCAACCCCAATTTCTGGACACTTAACCTAATTGAACAATTAGGAAGATTTAGCCCTAAATGAAGAGTATGAATCCATACAGTGCGCAAGCGAAGAAGACGATGAATAGGGTGGCGTAATTCCTGGCGAATCGTTTGATATTCTCATGGACTCTCATTCTCGCTTGCTGAGAAGACGACGGGAAAGAATAAGAGTCACAAGTGCCAAAGAAACCGGTGGTCCACGGAGGCGTATCCCCGGAAAAGTCATCGGCGGAGAGTTTGGAGAAAGGGTTGATGGTCAGAAGAGAAGAAACAGTGACGATTCGAGATAAGAGGGAGGCGAAGAAGCCACCGGTTATGGAGGAAACGACATCGTCAGAGGCGGAAGAAGGTGCGGCAGCTA